GTGTTTCCACTGCGTCTATTTATATCGGTCAACAATGCTCACCTTGGTGAACTCGTCCACCACTGCCTCCGGTGTGTCTCCAACCAGGACATAAAAGTCCAAAACCCCTCCAATAGTCCGGAAGGTTACAGCAGGAGCTGGCTGGATAGTCACCTCTGCGCACACACACACACACACACACACACACACATAACAGACAGACATAAACAACTTAAATAGCTCTAATTTGCTAACCTTTAACAAAAGCAGCCATTATCAAATTGCACTATACATGCTGGGCACAAACGTCACATCTTATATTATTAAAGATTATGACTTACGGAAAGGTTCATGTTTGTGACTGGCAATGTAATATGGAAAAAGTAGATATTACAATGACTAAATAAATGGAGGATTTTGTGTAGCACGGCTTCTGTAGGTTTCACAAAGTCTAAGTCTTTTTAAGACCTTTTTGAGAACATTATGAATGAAATTTCAGGTTATACTGCGCTAAACACTAAGGACTTTTTCGAATGGGCCAGTTGGGTCAATGGAACAGATTCAACCCAACCCCCCCTCCCAGTAAAAAAATATAGTTTACTTCTTAACCATATACTCACCTGCCATTTTATTAGGTACACCTATTCAACTGCTCATTAATAGCAACTCATGCAGAAACTCAATGCATTTAGGCAGGTAGACAAAAGTAAAGTGTTTTTTCTAGTTCTAGTAAAGTGTACCCAATAAAGTGGCCGGTAAGTATATATTAAATACTGTGTCGAATCCAGCGAACCCTAGTTGTATACATACAGTACACTTTTTTCAACATAACATTTTGAGGCAAGTGTTTTTGACCTTGCATGCATAGCCTGTTGTTGGAGACCCCCAACACCAAAATATAACCTTAGGGGCTCCATAATCAAATATTAATTTTAAGAAGGTTAATTAAACCATATTGGTCTATGTAATAATCAACTGAGTTTTGCTTAATGTTTTATTGAGATGGATTGCTGGGTAGCTTTACATGGACTTGGAAAATGATTTATAAGGCATACAAGACAAAATTTCAAGACTTAACATAAATTTCAGGACCTAAACCCTATGGACAGCCTGTATAGTTACCCATAGCATTGCTGTTCATGAGGAAAACGCCAATGGATTGACCGCTCTCATCTTCCAGACACGTAAAATAGGGGTAGTGGCCATACAGGTTGTGTGTGCCCTGAATACAAAAAAAAAAGAGATGGTATATTGTGATGGTATATTTCAACTTTATATCAAGTTATGAAACAATTGAGAACATGTATGTCTCATGAGCTTTAAATACAAATGCCATGACAGTCAATGAGTGTGACCCAACGTGGTAATGTAATCTTAAAAGGGCTTCATGTGAAATATTTAAGGGTCAAACACAACGTCCCATTTTATTGTCTGCACCAAATCGGATTTACAAAATATATTTTATAATATTACATAGAAATAATGATTATTAATGTTTCAGATAAGATTAGTGAATAAAGCATGTCAAAGTATGGGTAAATTATATTTAGTTGCCATTAAAAATAAATTTTAATGTAAAAATGACATAAAAATCTAAACTGCATGTATTATTTAGTAATAAATTAATAAAAAAATAAGTATAAAAATAATAAATACATAAAAAATAAATAAAACTAAGTAAAAATATACATAAAGATAATAATAATTAATAAAAAACATATAAAATAAATAATTAAAATATAAATAAAAATATAATTACAAAATAAAAATAAATAAATAATAAATAAGTAAAAATACAATATACATAAAAATATAAATAAGATATTAAAAATTACATAAATAAAATAAATGAGCAAACATTTAAATTAAAAATATAAATGAATAAATAAAATAAATAAATAAATAAAAAGCAAATAAGTAAAAATATACATAAAATATAAGAATAAAAATAGAATATAAGAATATAGAAAAGAATATAAATATAAATTATAAATAAAATATAAATAAAAAATAAAGGAATGAATGAATGAATAAATAAATAAATAAATAAATAAATAAATAAATAAATAAATAAATAAATAAATAAATAAATACATTAATTGATTAATTAAATATATATTATTATAGCACATAATATATAATCAAATGAACATAATTCTAAAAATACCATATACAACTTTTGGGGTTTATTAACTCTTATTACACAGAACAACATTATAATGCCCATCTTTTGTGAATCATGGTAAAATACATTATATACTTGCTAATATTAGGATGTCAGACTTAAAAAGAACCTCTGATTTGCACTCCTTAGGACACATCGCTATATACACCACATAAGCTACAACCTCTATATTGAATCATTCCTATTTTGACCAATATTTTTAAGTTATTAAGTCATAAATATGAGAAAATACTCATTTCTGGATCGCCGATTGTTTCTGCAGCACACAATCAGGCAATATTTTGACAATCATGCAAAGAGAAATGTTATTTATAAAAATTACACAGCTACTCCTGTCAATGCTGAAGCTCTTATTTGACAAGAAAATTATTATAATGCTTCTCCATACGACTAATGCACTATAATTAAGCTCTTCTGACATCAAGCAATGTTTGTAAGATGCTATTCTCAGACAATCTTGACATCCACAAAAGATCCCCTTAGAAAAGATCCAATGTTATTCTGAATCATTTGTTTATGAATCAGATAGAGACAGTTTTTGGCTCACTGATTCAGTAATCAGTAAATAAATGATACTTTATTTTCATTCAGATGACTACAGAATGTTGTATGATTCTTCAATGATGCTTTTCCATTGTTTTTAAAGGGTTACTGTCCCAAACCTTTAATCAGCAATGGCATTAAAATGTTTTGGGTCTTTTTTATTTTTGGAAATAGGCAACAATAATTTGTATGAGTTAAAATTATCAATTTACTTTAAGACAAAAATATTAGAATATTAAGCAAATTTATTGTTGTAAATGAATCAGATTTTTAAAAAGTAAATACAGTCACTGGACAAAATCAGGAGCCGCTTGACTGTATTCGGCATTGAACTACTCTAATAATTTAACTATAAATTGTTTTAAATTATACTGCATCAGATAATATTAAGCAATGTTTTCTATGCATATTAAAATGTTATTAAATAAATAGGAAAATACCCATGGCAACTTTAAAGTAATAAAGTCTGGTATATTTATCTTCGGCCCACCACCCTCAATAAAGTTTGGCCCTTCATAAGAAAAATATGGTTTACTTCTGGTTTACAGCTTAAATCTTTAACGGTGAATTTCTAAATATTTAGATCTTTTTTGAATCCTCAGATTGCGGATTTTGAAAAAGTTGTATCTTAGGCATATATTACATTAACAATATTTATATTATATACAATTATATAATAATAATCATATATATTTATGTGATAATGACGATGATAATAATAATAATAATAATAATAATAATAATAATAATAGTAAGAAGAAGAAGAAGAAGAAGAAGAAGAAAAATAGTAAGAATAATAAGAAAAATAATAATAAAAATAAATAAACAAAATTTAAAAAGCAAAAAATTATTACATTATAAAAATGAATAAAAATAAAATAATAACAATAAAAAATAATAATAAAGAATATAAAAATAAACTAAATTTAAAAAGCAAAATTAAAATAAATTATAAATAATATAATTTTAATAAATTTAATAAATAAAATTATTAGAATAAATTATAGTAATAACTTATAAAATTAATAAATACATTAATTAATTAATTAATCAATTAAAAAAAAATAATAATAAAAATAATAATAATAAAGAACAATAATAAAACAAAACTAACTAAATAAATAAATAAATAAATAAATAAACAAAATTTAAGAAGCAAAATATTAATACATTATAAAATGAATAAAAATAATAACAATAAAAATAATAAAGAATAATAAAAATAATAAAAAATAAATTATAAAAAGCAAATAATTAATAATATTATAAATAATATTATTGTAATAAATTATAATAGCTTATTAAAAACAAATAAATAATAATAATAATAACTTTAATCGAAATAAATAAATAAATACTACTACTACTACTATACTACTGATAATAATCATAATAATTACTTTGAAATAAATAGATAAATAAATAAATACTACTGCTACTACTACTACTAATAATAATAATAATAATAATAATAATGATAAATAAATACATAACTAATAAACAAACAAATAAATATACATTTTAAAAAGCAAAATATAAATAAATTATATTATATATAATATATATATATATATATATATATATATATATATATATATATATATATATATATATATATATATATTTATATATTTTTTTTTTTTATATATATATGTGTGTGTGTGTGTGTGTGTTTTATATATATATATATATATATATTTTTTTTTTATATTAAAAAAGAAAGAGAGGGGGGGGGGGTATATATATATATATATATATATATATATATATATATATATATATATCTCGCATAGTGACAGAAAGAGGGCATGTATATATATATATATATATATAAAAGAAAAAAATATATATATATATGTGTGTGT